ACACAAAATTAAAAGCGTATATAACAAGCAAATGGCCCTGAGATTATTTATTTGAATTTAGCATTTATTCCCGTTTCTTCTTTTTCTATTTTCTTGCTGATGTTCTATCATTTGTTTTTGTTCAATTGATAATCGAATGAATACTAAGTTATTTACTGTATTAGAATCGACATGTGCTCTTGTGGATTTAACAATGTGTTAAATATGCGTTTCACTATTCGAGATGTGTGAGTTCCCTCCCCCTAAAGCCTAAATTCGAGAAAGAACACTTTTTGCCAGAAAAAGATCTGAGTCAGCCATTCGATAGAGCGTGTTCGAAAACATAGAAAAAGTTCGTTCATAATGAAGATGTAGAAAAGTTTGTTTTTTATACTGTAATAAACCGTTCATCTAGTTCAACCCCCACAGACGACACTGCCCTGTTTTCTACATAAACACTACACGTATCGTTATTTGGAAGCCTTTAATGTGAATGTTTCTATAATGTAGGAAGCTCCTTTTAACTTTAAAAGAAAATATAGAACAACAAATACTCCCCTTCGAGATGAAAAATCATGTTGATTTGTCGGTAAACATTAAAGACTGTCGAATAAAAATTTCCTATAGGTGTGCTGTTTATGAGGAAAACGATAACTGGTGACTAGTTCCAGTTACTAGAAACGGGAGCTGGAACTGTCCCGCGCCTAGCAAATGTTCCAATATAACGGCATCTTTAGCATGTACATCCATTGAAGAAAGATCGTCATTTTTTAAGAAAGCTATCCACATAAATGAAGAATGATTTATGTTTGACGGAATCTTGCCACTGTGGAGTTTAAAAGTAGTTAAAACAGTTTTAACCATTCTAACCATTCTAATCCAGTGGTTTAACTAGTTTTAGATTCTACAGTAGATTTTACGAGTTTATACTAAATCATCCAAGACCTTTTTAAGTCAGTCTTGCAAACGTAGTATGGACACGCCTAATCGAGACGGCTTGGCTATTATTAGGAAAAAACTTTGTGAAAGCAGGTGATACACAAAACGTTTGGACTATTTTGCTAATCGAATAAAATTAAGATTAAAAAACTGAACTAAAAACCACATACACATTTGGTCGATTGAAAAAGATTTTTGAAAATGTATAAAAAGCGTTTATAGCGATTGTTTATAAAGTTTCAAATTAGTCTTTTGATTGAAAACAATTTCAGAAATAAAAGATAATGGTCTAGTTGTGATATTTTTGTTGAATGTGTAAATAACTGAACTTTCAAATATAAAATAAATGAAGCTTAAAATGAGAAATGAAGTTAAAAGCTCACCGACAAAAAAAGAAATGTCGAAAAAGTGGATTTTGATAATTATTATTTATGATTAGATGGCTCAAAGTATGTTACGGAAATGGCAACATCTACTTTTTTGACCACTATTTTGGAAATAACTCTGAGAAAACTAAAGTTTTCAAGATTAAAAATGCTCACCATAATCTAATCTAGGTAAGACTAATATTCTATGAGAACCTTGTCCAGATCACGTCTTTTCTGTCAAAGATAGACTTCGACAAGAGACTTTAAAACAGTTTTTTTCTTGTTACTATGGAAATGATTTTTTTCAGAGTGAATACATAGTTCATATTTTTATTTGCTTAGTTTATTTACATTTCACTATGACTTTTTTTTAACGCTTGTGGTAAAACTATGCGTTTCTGAATAACATTTTTTCATGTAAAATTAAGCCTTAAGAGCTGGTTATGTCACTAATTATGAAATTTTCAATCGTACATTAGTAAGCTGAACCTACAAGAAAAAATCGTTAACTAATTATAAGCACAAGTATTTGTAAGCTTAATTTCACTTAGATAAACAAAATTTTCACTCTCTGTCAAAATTGTTTCTATATTAGAATAAATTTACGAACAAACGTACTTTAATATGTTCTATAAAATGTAAATCCTTGCAAAATTTTTCATATGTAAGATAATTATATGTTGTTAGCAGTATCTATATTACGAAAATATTGAATTTATACGTCGGATTCAAAAAGGTTTGGACTAGATGACAGATAAAGGTTGACTTTTGATTTTGGACGTAAATATTGTTTATTATCATCGATACACAATGGCAATCGTATATCACCCTCTTTTCGATTTGTGTAATTATTTTCATATATTTGCTCGTCACTCTTATTTATACTCGATTCACTTCGTCTTTTTCTTGATGATGGGAATGAATTCTGTTTGAACAGATTAAACGGTTGTGGTAAATCATTATTTGGATTATAAAATGTTTGTTGATCACTGATTGGCTCGCCATTAACGGTTAACCATGGTTTACTACTCAATAAATGTTCAATACTATCGTTGGCATTAGGACAATTATTATCATCATCATCTTCCTGTTCATTATGATCAATGAGATCAGATGAATTTGAAATATATTTATCTAATGATGAAAATGACGTTGTCGCAGTATTCAAATAATTACGATTTGTTATTTTAGATAGTATTTGTTTGGTGAATAGTTCATGATTTTCATTCGGATCAACATTGGTTATTGTTAACGAGAGACGACGAATTTGTTGTTGTCTAGCAAGTAAAAGTTTCGTTTTCTTACGATGATGTTGAATTATGACAGGAAAGAGCATAAAAATACTTAATGCATACATTAACGGCACAAATAATGGATTGTACGAAGGTGATACTGAATGTCTACCATCGTCAAATTTAAGATCTTTACATATGGGATCGAATCGTGGTTCGATATAATAAATACAAGTAATATAGAGTCCATCGGCACAATCAATATTCTCATTTAATTGAATATAATTAATCGTAATTGTTTCATTTCCAGTCAAAAAGGATCCAAATCTATAAGCTTCAGCTCCAAATGAACGAAAAGTAATAGAATATTTTATTGAATTTGATGAATCATTTATTGAAGTACTGAATAATAGAGTTAAATCAAGACAATGGGTATTCGTAAAAATAACTTGAATTAATGTTTCATTTAATTTTTCTGAATAATTACTATTAAGTGGTGTCATTGAGATGAGAATTATTTTAATAGAAAGCCATAGAAGTAAAAATAATGACAAGTAGAACATTCAATCACTCGGTCATTACACGATAATCGAACGTCTTTATTAGTTTATCGTTAAGAAAAATAATAATAAAAATTCTCTCATCATGATCATTAGTAAAAAAATACGTTGCTATAGTCAGTCTCGAATTGACATTTTTTTTTCCTTCTATGAACATTCAGTGTAAAAAATAAATACTGTTTTTCTCAGTTAAAAAACTTAAGGCCAAGAAATGTTCATGTTCTTTTCCCTTTTTTTTCATATTGCTCTATTATAACACATAAAGTACGTTTTTTTCTTTGTTCTTCTTCTTCTATTCGTATTATTCTTTGATTGTGTAACTACGCATCATATATAAAGTAGTATGAGGGAAAAGAGATACCCTTTTCACTTTTTTATCGTATCTTCATTATTTTTCGATCATTTCTGGTCGGAAAAACTTGCTATTAAACATGGTGATCGAGGGTACAGTTTTCTACACATTGATGCAAAAATCTTCTGAAACTCTTTAGCCGATTTTGAACCAGCTGCAAAATGCTGTGAGTCTCCTGAATGTGTTTTTTTTCCACTGGAGGAAAAGACACTCCATTCAAATACATGGAGTTTTAATTAACAAATCTCTGTTAATTGAATTTTACAGATAATTAGCTCAACAATATCTGCCTCATTTTATAGCCTAGACCTTTCTCTCTCTATGTTGTTTAGAATGCTGAACTCTATAAAATATGGAAAAGTAGCTCACTGTTTCACTCTATGAGTTTTTAATGAAAGAAGAAAATGAGAATCTCGAGTGTAGTTGATTGTGTCTTAATTAGCTTAATGAGTTTAAACTATAATGAGCTCTAAATCACTTGGTAGAGAGAGAAAGATCTAGGCTACAAAATGAGGCAGATATTTTTGAGATAATTATCTGTAAAACTCAGTTAACAGAGATTTGTTAATTAAAACTCCATGTATTTGAATGGAGTGTCTTTTCCTCCAGTGGAAAAAAAACACATTCAGGAGACTCACAGCATTTTGCAGCTGGTTCAAAATCGGCTAAAGAGTTTCAGAAGATTTTTGCATCAATGTGTAGAAAACTGTACCCTCGATCACCCTGTTTAATAGCAAGTTTTTCCGACCAGAAATGATCGAAAAATAATAAAGATACAACAAAAAAATGAAAAGGGTATCTCTTTTCCCCTATACTACTCTATCATTGCTTCCGTCTGCAAAAACACCATTAGACATTTTAGAAAAGAATGAAAAGAAGAAATTATTTTTTCTTATTGATAAAAGTGTTTTTTTGCTAAACATGCCGCATTCTAAATCTTTAAGTATAAATTGTTTCTCTGTTGATGAAAGAAAAAAAATCATACCGCACATTATGATCGATGTTCGCAGGTAATTATTTATTCATTGAAAGACTTCAATTAATCATCTTTTCTTGTTCAAGATATGTTCTCGTATGTTATGGGTAAGCATTCAATATAGAGGCATTAAATACGGATTACATAGAAAAAGGAAATCAAAACATATCTGTAGCTAGGCATATTCTTTAGCAAGATTTTTCACGTTTCTATTTAATTTCTTTCGTGAAAATTCGTTCAAACTAAACTCTAAGTTTAAGAGAAGCTGAAGTCTATACTAACATTCTGCAGAGTTTTCTCGGCAACCCAGTTTCAAGTAATCCCCAAGTGACTTAGTCACAAGTGACCTAAAAAATGAATTTTGACAGATTTTTTTAATTTAAATAGTTCGGCACCATTTGTTCTTAATAGTCCTAACAAAGGGGATAGTAATGAAACACATCATGATATAATTTTCGTTTAATACTAATACTGCCTATGACTGGGGTTTAAAAGATCCAATACTACATTTTCAATATGTTAATCCGTTCGAGGAGTTTCACCTTTTAATCCCAATAGAGACTGCCCTGTCAAGGTTTTTCTGCTGACTCAGTGCAAGTCGAGGAGAGGATTAGAAAACTTCAGGATATGATTTATTTTGTCTTGTGAAAGTGACTCAAGGATTGAAATGATACTGCTCGAATTGTTTTTTTCAAAGATATTATAGAAACTCTTTCGAAGAACTATAGAGTGTGTAAAATGACGATATCTCTGACTAAATTTTTGAAGCTCTAACTAGAAATATCTCAGAAAACTACTGTTCATAGATATACAAATATCTTATTTCGGCTAGTGAAAGCCACATGTTTCTATCTCTTATTGCAGACGACAATCACAGTATCTGAATGTTGTTTATCTGTATGATGTTCATGGACATCTGTGTACGCTACATGAAACAATTTTGAAGGAAATCTTTTCTTATGTCTGGTATATACATGTACTGAATTTAAAACGAAGTTGGTGAATGATTTCGCCTTGAAATAAGACCGTTTTCATCAGTCTTACGATAAGATAGATAATTTTGTTTGTCTTGACTTATAACAGCCGAGAAAAGCTAAAACTAAGGAAGGTGAATACTATATGATCTATGTATTTTTCGAATATTGAAGGGATGTATACCTAAGCTCATTACCATATTATGCATTATATGCTTATGTATTTAAAAGTAAATAGTACCATTTATCTGATCATTGTGAAAAAATCCAAGGACAAAGAGATAATTGTCACTTTCTTCCAATATCCGCTCTAATATATCTGCACAGAAGGAAAGAGAAATTCACATTATTTTCTTTGCTGCATAAACAAGAAAAAATACAATCAAAACAATTAGTGTCACTTAAACATTATTGCTTTTTGCAATTTACCCAAATAATTTTAAAAAAGCGCGTTAATTGGTACTCTAAAACAAAAGTTTCGACCACTAACTAACTTGTTGAAGTGAAAAATTACATAGAACATAATGTTTAGTGAAGTATTCGATAGAGTGCAGCCAACGCTATAAAAATATTCGTTTGACATGAAAATATCGACAGTTATGAACAAGGTCACGAACATAAATGTTAGAAATAGAAATGGCGAATCGCTAACAAATAGACAGTCCATTACTTTATCCGTACGATGGTTATAATCCGTCTGTTTGAGTAACACTATTATGAATATTCAGCATTAAAAACAGACAAATGACAGTAGCTAGTGATGAATTAACAAAACTTGTTCGAGATGTCCAGATCAAAATTAATGTTTTGGATATGATTCTGATTGTCAACAGAGTTAAACGTGCACTTCTATCCACATCTGCATCATTCTACAATTTAATCAGATTGTACATTAAGATTTCTAATTCATCATGTTATTTGATTAATATACTAATGTAATGAATCTATGTTAATATATTATGGCAACCCGAATCAGTAACCGACAGTGTTCAATTACTCAACTCCATTTATATAGATAAACTCAAATATATGTATCATTTACTCAATGACTAACAACAATCAAACTATAGGCAATGTTTTGCTCTTCATTTAGCCGAATGAAAAAAAAGAAGTAGATAAGATATATTTTGCGCTTGGCGAGCGAAACACTCAATATACCACATTCACTCTCTGTTCGACATATGCATGGAGTAGTAGGATACCGTGAACATATAGGCAAATAAGAAATTATGTATAGAGGAAAATATGATTGTATAGAAAACATCGGTACAAACTAATTTTAAATATCATTAATAATCATAATAATATTGTAAGTAACATACTAAAATTGAGAAAAACTAAACTCAATTGGGAATTGAACGACATACTGACGTTTAATAATTTCATCAAACATGAAAGAGTGACTATTCCCACATGATAATACATATTCATAAGGATAAACAGTGCAGAATTTGTTTTCTCCATCAAAATGTTTTACAAAGGATTTTTGTCACCTATTGTGACGACAAAATGTGTTAGGATCATCCAAGAAAATGTTATGAGAATCAAATAAAAAATGATCAACAGTAAGTAGTTTCAAGAACATCCTGTGAAACGTTTTTTTCAAGTATCTAGCTAGTGCACTTGTCGGGACTCTCAAAAGGTTGATTTGATAGTAGATTACATCACTAAATCTCGATAAAATCATCTACTTGGGCTAAAATTTTGACCAGAATTTGCTAATAATGTTTCGAAGATGTGCCTTTTTTGTGTTTCTTCGTTATTGACTATCCATTTTGCATTATAGCGAAAACAGTGAAAAACTATTAAGAATTCAAGTTTTTCCGTTTTAAAAACTTTCACTACTTGAGAACGAAGGAAGAATAGAAAAATTACATGATCAAAGATGATCACAAGTGTTTCAATAGTGGTAGTGATGGTGAGACTCACCACTATTAGTATGGTTCCAACTGCTGAGCCAATGGTGCCGTTATTGGTTCATATGAAACGATGGATATATTTGATAAAAAAGGTCGCGATCTTATCTCATATAATTACAGAGGAACTCGTTTTTATTCTGATATACTAGCCAAATTTTTCTCTCTATTATCGAGCGACACTTATCTTTAAACGTAGGTTCCAAGTGTTGAGCCAAAGTTACTTTAACCAATTCGCGATTATCGGTTATAAGATAAGAACAGAATGAAGAGGAAAGTTTGTACCATTTAATGCTAATATTTCGAGAAAGTATAAATTAAACTTAAATACTAGTAAATATATTTGTTTATGCTTCACCCGTTATGACGTTCAGAAAATCATTTACCCTAAAAAAACAACATGAACTCTGAAAACTGTCTCGTCTGAACCGCCATCCATTGTATTCTACATTTTTCTCTTACGACTATATTATTAAAGAAAATATTTATTCTGTGCCGAAAATCGAGTTGTGAAGGATAGGCACCTTGTGGACTTCAGTTTAGCTCTCATAGCATAGAATTGACACTGGTCTTCTAATTTGTGAAGGACTTCTAATATGGGAGGTAGTTCATAGTTCATTTACTAAACGTTTGAACGTGTTGTTTTAAAGTTTGAAAAAACACATAAAAATAAATATAAAGTAAATACATTTTTTTAATCTAAACAAGAAGACCTTGTACAGCAT